TTTTAAGAACTTCAGTTTCTCAGTACTACATTTAAAACTGACATCAATATAAATATAATTAAACCCTCACGTACAGTCCTAGTGAAAGTCGTGAGGAGAGTACTTTTTATTTAAAATTGTGTTCTGTGATAAAGAAATGGTTGTTGCACATACCACAGTCTGAAACATGAATACCCAAAGCGTGAAATGTTTATGGATTTTTTTGTTTGTGGTACTATTCAATAGATGGCGTAGGCATTTTGGTTATATACATAGATACTGACATGAATCGCAAATTCGACACCACTGAACAAATGCATAATTAGAGTACTCTCATATTTCTGAAATGGTCTCACAAAAAGAGAACATCAAATAACCCTGTTATGATGTACTAGATATTTTGGAATAACAAATGGGAGGGTGTTAGTACATTTTTGTGACTTCGTCATTTACAAGAAATAATGAAATACCAAAAACTGCAATTTACAGCGATCGACCCCTAATTCTTATTGAATTAATCATAGGGATTTTACTGCTACAAGGTTTGAAAACTGATCATATTTAGGGAAGCTTTTAATTTCTATGAAGAATTATCCTGCAATTGATATAAAACATATTAAAGAATTCTAGTGTCATTAAACATAATGTATCGTAGACAGTTGGTGACTGTTACAAGTGAAATAATTGCTATTAATAACTCAGTGTTAAACGTTTAAATTTATGAATTTAGTTACAGTAAACAGATAAAAATATATAGTATTTTATCTAAAAACATTCGGCTCTATATGTTCGATTATTACTATCGCCATCTATTGACAAATATATAATATAATTCAGTTAGCATACCTATTCATTACGAAATATTTTTGTCAAACTTAATACTATTTCTTGTCACACAAGTAACAGATTATATAATTATTTACTATCCTTTTTTAGTTGTTTGCTGCCAAAAAATCAACACTTGCATAAACCAACTTTTTTTTAGAGCAAAGCCACATTGTGCTATCTGCTGTGTCCACTGCGGGGAATCGAACCACGGAGTTTAGCATTATAAGTCCATAAGCTTACCACTCTCCCACCAGAGGACGATTTAAAGATACATGCTAAAACATTAAAAATCTTGTGTTGAAATAAATTAAATACAACTAGAGATATTCCTTCACGTGTATGTAACAGAAAGGTTCTAATAAATACATATGTATATATAAATCTTACTATTTCACAGTTTGTCGAGCTGCATTTCATGTATATTGATTCATAATCCGCTGTATTACTGACTGAACAAAATGTTAAAACTGGAGTTAAAAGCTACAAATTTTAATTACATTGTAAATAGGATTGATAATATCTTTCTCTTACATATAACTGTAACATTTTTTACTTCCGCGGGTCTAAAGATAGTCTGTAGACAGCGCTGTGTTTACAAGTGACTTCTATTCTAAACATTCGTAAATAAAACTTCAAATGCTCCACAAAGAAATGCCAAAATGAAATACTTACCTGTGTTTTATTAGATATTTGTTTGAAGCGATCTGTTTTGTGACAGCACGTGATTAAACTTGTTGTTTTATGGATGAGTTAAACTGAATGGCTGTAAAGTAGGTAAACAGGATGTCTATAAAGTTGGTAAACAGGATGGCTAAGGAGTTAAACTGGATGTCTATAAAGCAGGTAAATAGGATGGCTAAGGGATTAAACTGGATGTCTATAAAGTAGTTAAACAAGATGGCTATGAAGCAGTTAAACTGAATGGCTAACTTACGAAATGAATTCATTTTTTGTTTGTTGTTTAAACTTAAAGCAGCACAATAGACTAACTGTACAGTGGCCACCACAGGTATTGAACGCTGAATTTTATCATTATAAGTCCTCAAGTAGCTAAAATACCTAATCAGATTACCAAAAAAGAAATTAATATGTTGACAACGCGACACTTCGTAATAACAACTACAGTTATTATATATTAAATATACAGTAAAAAAACAACAACAAAAATATGATGTACAGTAACTTTCTCATCAATTTTAGAGTAAAGTATGAAAGGTTATTTCTAAATGTTTCCTTTTCTTTCTATAAACGATGATTTTCTGAATTAAGTACAAATTGTTACGACAATGTTATGCTGAAACCTCCCAGAGGCTCAGCAGTAAAGTCTGAAGGTTTATAACGCTGAAAACCAGGTTGCGATACCCATAGTAGGCACAGCACAGATAACCCATTCTGTAGCTTTGCGCTTATAAACAAACTGAAACACCTCTGTGAGATAATGAAAGTTTTAGGTTTTCGTCCGTTTCTCAGCTTTTTCACCTCAAGATGAAATAGGACACGGGTCCGGCATGGCCAGGTAGTTAGGGGTGCTCGACGTGCAATCTGCGGGTCGCGGGTTCGAATCCCCGTCACACCAAACATGCTCGCCCTTTCAGTCGTGGGGGCATTACAACGAGAGGGATGAATCCCACTATTCCTTGGTAAAAGAGTAGCCCAAGAGTTGCGGTGGGTGGTGATGACTAGCTGCCTCTAGTCTTACACTGCTAAATTAGGGACGGCTAGCGCAGATAGCCCTCGTGTAGCTTTGCGCGAAATTCAAAACAAACAAACAGAAATAGGACTCTGGGTTCTTACTACTTCTCAAGTTTTAAAATTCTAAATGAGTGACATATTGCTTCATTCTAGCGATTGTTCAAGTTTTTAATTCTAAATAAGTCGTAATTTGTATACAATTAAATTTGAAAGGTGACCATCACCCGTTGATTTTATTTTACCTTCAGTACTATTCCTTCAATCAAATTTTAAGTACATAATGAATAAAAACCACCGATTTTTAATAACAACCAAGGGTTAAAAAGAAAATAGAAAACCTTCTTTACTTGAAAATATCACAAACATTTTTTTATTTCACAAGAAAAAATTTATTCCTTCAATTTCTCAAAACTGGTGTACACAAATAATAATGTAAAATACTCAGATTGTGCAAGACTTCAAACCGTAAGACTTTACGTTCCTCAAGCGGCCTTTGTGCTCCTTACCTTCTCTGTAAAAAAACATCAAAAGTACAAGTTATTAAATAGGAATTTCTTTTCCTGATAGATTCCATAAAATAGAGGCAACCATATTCTTATCAAAAACAAACTTCAAATAAATATAGATCAAAAAAGTTAGTTAACTAGTACACAACACAAGCGTGGGAAAATAAAAAGACAAATTATTCTGTTATTTCCTCTTTCATCCATTTCAAAAGTTGAGCGATTTCACAGTATCCAACAACTACTCTGCAGGTTTTTACATGTTCTGTAAATATCCTCAGGTATAATATACAAGTTTATTTGTTGAATCTCGCGCGAAGTGATAGAATAGAGAGAAGAGAGCTAGTCAACGCCACCCACCGCCAACGCTTGAGCTGCTCTTTACCAACAACTAGTGGAACTGACCGTCACATTATAACGAGCACACGGCTGAAAGAATGAGCGTGTTCGGTGACAGGATTCGAACCCGCAGACTGCGAGTCGAGTGCCCTAACCACCTGGCCAATATTCAAGGTAAGCTCTCGAAATTTGATATTCTGACCACAAACCATTCTACAATACATAAATATCAAGCGACCTGTTTTGCAATATCTAATGCCCCCAGTGGCACAGTGGTATGTCTGCAGACTTACAACGCTAGAAAACGGGTTTCGATACCCGAGGTGGGCAGAGCACAGATAGTCCATTGTGTAGCTTTGCGCCTAACTTCAAAACAGACAAGCAATATCTATATTCTTTCTCGGACAAACATAAAAACAAAAAACCTAAACACATTGTTCTAGTGACAAATGTCGGCGAAGCTTATCATCATGATTGAAAGAGCTTTGGTTTTAGTGAGAGAATACAGAAACAGGTTACATTGAACTAAGTTCGGAGGTATTATCAGTTAGCCTTCACTGATGATGAAATCTCAAACACGATAATTTTAGGATTTTTTAGTTTTATTTTCAGCACGGTTTTAAATATATGTTACATTATAAGCACCAAAACTCTTTTTTTTTATACGACATTTAATATCTACAAGCTATGAAGTTTCTTAACCACAGCGAATGAATACAGAGACTAATTTCTTACATTTTCTTCTAAGCAGGAACACAGCTATAACCACCAGCAAATGCAAACCCTCCTCCGTGACCACCTTTGTCAACAGACTTTTTCCCGTGGCATCTCATACCATTGACATAAAATACATTTCCTGTTGTGCCACGAGTGTTGGCAGGATATCTTCTGGCTTCGTTCTGCAAGGTACCTTGAATCCCATGCAGCGTTTCTAATGTTCAATAAAGTAAATGACATTATAGGCCTACTTCACACGTCACAAATACCACTTATACTGTTTCATTTTTATAGCTGGACATTTTTAAAATTGTTATAATATACTTATATTATATTATCTCTAAACAAGTTGAAAGAAACACACTCTATTAGTACCAATTTAATAGTCCTGTTTCTGGAGAGAAGTGGGTGAACATTCTTCTAGTACCAATCTAAGAGCTCTATTTATAAAGAAAAATTAGTACCTTCTGGTACCAATCCCGCAACGCTGTTTCTAAAAGAAAACTGGTGAACATTTCTCTGGTAAAATCTAACACCCTGTTTTTGAGGGGGGGGATGTGATGTCGTTATTATCATAGTTTATCATTCGCTTAAAAAAATGTTTGTATCATTTTTAATATCTTTTTCCAACTCGTATATTTTTATTTCAATTGATCATAATAAAACTCTTTTTAATTATATATTTTTTATATTATACATACCTTGGATACCTCCCGCCACTCTTCTGCCATAAGCTGCAAAATCAGGTAAGTTGAAACCAAAACCACCAATTCCACCAGGAATAAAGGAATTCAGGAAATCGATACCTGGGACACCACGCTTTAAGCGATGTTTGGAAGTTGGAGAAGCTCCAGTCATAAAGAAGGCCAGAACAAATAAAAACAAGAACAGTATTTGTGTTTTCATGACTCCTCTGATCCGCTTGCTTACTTCTGGGAATAATTGGATATTGAACTGTTTTAAAACTAGAATTACAAAAAAAAACTAAGTCACGCAGCTATAGTAATAACTACAATATTAGCCAGAAAGTTTTTAAAGTGTGCAACTGAATATTAAAAGATGGGGAAAAAGCTTTAAGTTACAGATAATTACACTAATTTTCAAAGTAGGTTGTAACATTAAAAGTAAAAGCTAAGTATACAATTGTAACCCTATTTTTTGTTTTCTTAACGATGCGTTCTGAAAAGCTGTTCCATGTGATAAGTTACATTAAAACAAGTCGTAAAAATGGACTTCCAGAGAAAAATAAAGTTATTGATTCTGTGAAATAATTCCACCTTATAAAGGATTTTGTTTAGCATTTTAATCTTATGCTATATGCTTGGAACACATTTCAAGTTTATCACATGAAAAAAACACAAAAAACGAGGAAATTTAACACTTTCCACAGATGAACCTAGCTTCATTTGGGACAAAGACCCTGATCCACGAGGAAAATATACAGATTCACCTGTCGAAAACTTTGGGGTTTTATCGGTTTTGGTTTTTGAAAATGCTTCATCAGTCTTCTTTATGTTGTTGTCGTTGTTGTTTTCGATTCACCAATATTTTGTATCCTACGTTTTTTACTTTCGATTCAACAATATTTTGTATCCTACGTTTTTTACTTTTGATTCAACAATATTTTGTATCCTACGTTTTTTACTTTTGATTCACCAATATTTTGTATCCTACGTTTTTTACTTTCGATTCAACAATATTTTGTATCCTACGTTTTTACTTTCCTAGTTGTCACACACACTGTAAACACAGCCACATAAAGTACAGTTAACCATAGCAACGAAGCATTGTAACATTGAGCACATTTTATTATATCCTTTCAGTTCTAGAAGTGTCTCTAACATATATCTAACATGTAAATCTCTTAACAGAACTTTCACAATAACAAATAATTAACAAATCCAGAAATCGGATGGAAAACACAATCTATATATATTATAGGTCGTCGTAGATTTACAGATTTAAAAGAAAATCAGATAACATAAAGTAGGGTTATAAATTATGCCTAAAAATCTTTTAAAAAGTAGTTTTCTTAATGATATTTTCTATGCCCTGTTTTTAACATACTTGTAAATTTATAATATAATGCATAGATACTTACGCGATAAACACCTAATTCACGACTGTTTCGCATCTATCACTAATCTTGAATAACCTACTTTGATGGAGTCTGTTCGAATACTAACTGTGTGTTTTCCCTACCGTTTATATAAACGCTTTGTGTTAATTGTACGTCTACCTGGTCACGCTTCAGAACTCTAGCTCATCAGTTTTACATGGTGGACTGAGCTTTTTCTGAAGCAGACTCACATCAACTTTCACTGTTATGTTAATGTATCAGGTTTTAAAAAAAGTGTTATGTAGTGTACTTGCGCAATTTCCTGACAGATGTGACCTTCAGAAAAAACCCTACCTCATTACGTCCGCGGTGTCAAGATAGGTAGCCAACCAAACGTTTGTCGCTTAAGCCTTAGTCTTGTGATGACCCGGGTTTTCCCTGATAATAAATAAAATCATAAGACAATGAAAAATACCACCACTCCACCCCTATTCGAATCTCGGTTGTAAACACAAGTATGAATCTTTCATAGTGCGAAAAAGCGCAGCCTGACAATAATGGTATGGTCATGATCATATCCTTCTGAATAATTATTTTTTTCTTTTGAGATTAAGAAAGCAAAAACATATTTTAATTCTTTGTCATACCAAGTCTGAAGTGTTATTTAATTTAATAAACCAAATAGGACACTCGCCACTAGCCCCTCCCCTCCCCAGTGGCACAGCGGTATGTGTGCGGACTTACAACGATAGAATCCGGGTTTCGATACCCGTGGTGGGCAGATCATAGATAGCCCATTGTGTAGCTTTGGCTTAATTACAAAACAAACAAACACTCGCCCCTAAAGACGAACATTCAAATTTGCCGTGGAATGTAAAACTAAATTTAATTAAAATGTTTGATATTTAACAATATTGTCGAGATTTGGAGGATCGTAGTTGTAACTTGTATTTTTCCCTATTTCATCATTATCGCACTCATAATGTAACAAACAGTATTAACCCTCAACTTACAGACTTGTTGTTATACTGTTACGTCTCCGTTCGTTAATTAACTTTCCGTAACTTCGTTCCGACGAAACTTTAGCGACACAAATCCTTACTTAATAAAACTGGTTTATTCTTTCCGAATACAACTTTACGATACACTTATTTTCAACAATCGCGCTAAAACAAACGCTATATCAACGAACGTCAACAATACTTCTGACCGCAGTTCAATTACTCACTATCTACACACACACTCCATTACCGCCACGTTGTCACCCTCTTTTATATACAAGACTACCCTATATCTAGTAAATACTAGAGCATTCGCCAAGGTACAGGATAGTTCTAGAAAATAGGTGGCGCCACACCAGTCACTTGACCTCGATGACGCAACAATACCATTCACATAGTACCAGTGGAGTTCACTTGTCATTATAATATTGAGAAAGTTTTGTTTCTTGTTACAACACAACATTTATTGTAAAGAATTGACCAACAAGATTAGGTGGACTCACTCATCTACAAAACGCGTATGGTACCCCAGCTGTAGTTTATGATATCTACTGCAATACTGATGCCATTTCGTTGTCGTAGAAAGGAATTTTTTGACCATTGCCAAATTTCCATTTCTTTCTCTTTTTTTTGGGGGGGGGGATACCCTGAAAAATGTTGAAAATTAAATGATAAAAGATTGAATCTTAAGCCATTTTAAGTACAAATACTCCATACACACAACGTAATGTATTGAATTAAAATAAGTAATACGTAAGCTGTAGCTATACATGCCATTTAAAAGTGGTCAGGCCATGGCCTGACTGGCCTTATCACTTCCTACAGACCCTGTATTTGTGTTTACATTTTTTAGAATTTTGTAACCCAAAATGTCGTGTATCCACAAGGAATTCAATTGGGACATATATATTTCAGAAAAATGTGTTTAACAAAAACTGATAACCTCAGTCATAGGCGGCTCCAGAGCCTATAGATGTAGTATGTAGGCACACCATACGTTATCTACCTTCTTATATTAACGTATAAATTTTCAAAACTTTTCGTTTATTGTAAGTTTATGCAGTTTTCGCGTGACACATGGTCCAGAAAGCTATTAGATGACTTTGTTCTAGCTGCCTATATTACATTATTGCTCTCTTGATATACTACCTGCTGTACATGGGAGATATTACTGTGAAGCTGCACTCTGTGCAAGAAGGTCAACGACACTGCTATCTATGTCAAATGATATTTAAAGGTTGAATTAGAATGACCAGTTACGTGGCAGCGCTAGTCGTTGAGGATAAATCCGACGTTTCCCTTTAATGTAAGAAACTTAAACACTACATGGAATCCCAATTGAGTTAGTCGACGGGAATGCATCTTGGGGGGAAGAAGCTTTGTTGATGAATTTACAATTCCGGTAGCAAATGATCGTCGATGTCCAGAAAGAGTTTGTCCATTGATTTGAATAAAAACTGCTTTCATCGTGTCCAATCTGCGTATTCCTTTGCTTGAACTCATTTACCTCAGCGAAGTTCGGACTTCGTAATTTATCCCGACGATCCTCCCGTTATAAAGCAGACCTACTTAGTATTCTTTGAAGAAATAGTTTATCTGAAAACATCACATACCGACCGATACCTGTGATGGGCACAACACATATAGCCCATCGTGTACGTTTGTGGTTACAAATAAGAAAAACAAAAACTGAGGGTGTTGGTACCCCACTGATAAACCTATTATTAAACTCTTTATTCACTGTGGCTTAAGCTAAAACTGGCATGATTTCCAATTTCACAAAAAGGGTCATAAGCCATTTTAATTTGGTTGTTTTTAAGCACAAAACTACACAACTACTGTGTTCTATCCACCACGGATGTCAAAACCCAGATTTTAGCACCGTAAGCATGCAGATTTACCGCTGAGCCACTAGAGAGTGGCTGCTCTTTTAACACGGACAATTTGTGATATAATAGCATTCGTACCTTTCTGGCCCGGCATGGCCAGGTGGTTAGGGTCGCGGGTTCGAATCCCCGTCACATCAAACATGCTCGTCCTTTCAGCCGTGGGGGCGTTATAATGTGACGATCAATCCCACTAGTCGTTAGTAAAATAGTAGCCCAAGGG